ATAGGTCAGTGGTACTCACTGCCAATCTGCTTGACTTGTTCATAGGTCAGTAGTACTCTCTGCCAATTTGCTTGACCCCAGTTCATAGGTCAGTAATACTCGCTGCCAATCTGCTTAACCCCAGTTCATAGGTCAGTGGTACTCACTACCAATCTGATTCTAGATCATTGTATTATACCTAGATATATTTCCTGCCCCAACAACTAACATTGTGTTAATGTCATTTTTTTTTTATTTGATTTCTCAAGATAAATATTGATTTGAACCAGCAGTTGCTGAAAGATGGTTATCGCCTCGATGAGCTTCCTGATGACGAAGATTTGGATCTGATTCCTCCAAAGTCTTTCAACCAGCGGTGTGTGTGCTGTCAGTTACACCAAACACTATGTACAATACAATAATACAGGTCAAGTAGCCTGTGATAAACTGCACTCACCCATTGCTTTGATAGCAACAAGTTATACGACGATGGAACTATACATACCAGTAGTGTCGCCTGCATATGTTTTTGGCGAGTGATGCAATGCCGCAACTTGCCACTTTTCTGTGCGTTTTTTAATGATGTTCATTATCAATCTATAACGCACAATTGCAGTATACCTTCCATGTTAGATAGTCTTGTGATTTACCCCGCTTAGATGTACTTACAAGCAACAACATGGCATGTACAAGCAAGCTCTACGAAAGTTGTCAAGCTAGATGTCTGCAATTCTCGTTTGTAACTTGAGAAGGCAAGCCTGCCAATCCCCGGGATTACATGGTGCAATAATGTTTACCTATTATCATCATACACCACAAAATCAATTTCCAGTTCCAAGTATCACCATTTTTTTTGTATATTTAATCACATAAACATTGAGCCAAATTGCACTTAATCTGTAAAATACGATATTTTCACTGCTATTATTCAGCTAATAACACTATAACCATGGTAACTAATATGTGAAATACATGTATGCCAAAAAAGTAGCTAAGTGGATAATTTGCTCTTATCATGCGGTGACCATTGCTGACTACCGTATTTATCCGGGTATAAGCCCAGGGTCTTGAACATGGAAAATTGG